TGTTTCTTCTGATTCTATGTCACGACTTGGTGCATTTATAGACACTTGGCAAATAATTCCATCACCTACATTTACTTCTTACAGAAACGCGTTTCGGGCTTTCGCCCCTCTTCAGTCTGTTACGTCGATAGTTGTGACTTGTGTGTCCGTACTTCCCGCTCCCTTCCCCCCCCCTCTTTTCCCGACTTGACGGACTCCCCCGCATGCCTCGTAATTTGTAACATTACCCTTCTCCGAGTGTTGCACACAGCCTCGCCTGCGACTGTATAAACATTCTATTTTATTTTAATAATTGAAGCCAGTTTTTATGGATGTCGATGCTAAGGTTCTTGTTAATATTATTTTTGTATATTTATATTTGTATATATATTTATATATGTTGTATATATTTATATTTGTATATTTGTATATATATTTGTATATTTATTGTATATTTCTTGTTTATATATTTTTGTAATATTTATATAACTAAAACAATATACTTCTTAAAATCTACAAGCTGTCTACCTGGTGACAAGCTTGTAGATTCATAAACCATGCACAACAATATAGAACATGCCTATCAATAAACTGACCTTTTTTCCACTAAAAGTGTTCCTGTATGATTTGTTCTCAATGGCAACCTTATGCTAAGAAAATACATATAGTAAAGAGAACAGCAAGCAACCAAGAAAATTTTGAACCATTTTGAAATTTTCAACCATTTTCAACCATTTTGAAAATTTTTTTATTTAAAAATTATATAACCAAAATTAGAAAGTTGCTTCCATGTTGCTATCATCCAAATAAATATTGATATTAATTCTACAGTATTTGAAAAGCAATGGTAATTTTTTCAGTTTTTCTTTTGTTGAATTAGAGATTATTTAAGTCATAAAAATACAAACATTTTTACATACAATATAAATGTTTTCAAACATTTTTTTTCAACTTGATTCTCATAAAAAAAAAAACTTGTTTATCACTAGCTTAGAGCATTTGGCTTATTACTGAAAGTTCTTCCAGTACTTGTATCTTGTGACTGATTTTCTTCATTTCTTCCTTATTACTATTATTTTCTTCTTTTAGCTTATTTATTTCAGATTTAATTGATTGTTGATGAAATTAAGAAAAAAATAATATTTACAACCTATTTTTGTAGAAGTTCAAGGATTAGAAGGAAACATCTGCAGGAAAGGATTAGACAGGAAAAATTTAATAAGAATAAAATATTAATAAGAAATGATTACTTTATAAAGGAAAATATAACATATACATATGATACCAATTTAAATAAGATTATCCAAATAGATTATTTTTTAGGAACAGACTGATAACAAACTTAGAAGAAGGGAAAAAAGGCTATACCGCATTTGGTATAGATTCTGTTAATAATAATATGGCTATTGATTCACCATAGGAATTCTGTATGCCTATACCTTATTTACATATAATTANGTGTGAATTACTTATAACTCTTGAAACTTTTGTCCAATCCAGATAAATTTTGGTTATATTTATTTTATGTTCTGATGAAAAGTATAGGCTACTTATTTTGAAGAAATATTAGCTATATAATAAACATTTTATCTATTTTGGATCGGTGATTGCACTTATGTTGCAGTGACCTCAGTTTATGCTTGTTGACAGAATATCCCTGAAGTTGCATTTTGAAATATTTTGGCAAATGGTGCATTTTAAATTTACTTCATTAAATTCAACAAAAGACAGCCACATTGTGTCACTTCTGTAACAAATTTTTTAAAAGTCTTTCCACAGTGATCACATGACATTCTATTATCCAATCAGAAGTAATGATCTAACAATCTCATTAGCTTCAATCTCTACTTTCTCATCCATCAAGTATTCCATCATGCTTGACAGGGGAATTTTTACTACATTTATAAAAATCAATATTGTTAGCAAAATGATTTTGATTTTGATGATAATTTTATATAAACATATGAACAAAGAAAATATATTAACATAAGAGGAATAGGTTACAAAAAAGTTAATACATAAATCATTATAAAAACTCTAAAAGTTTATTTTATCTTCAAAAAAATTGTAAAAAAAAAGGAAAAAACTTAAGCCACAGTGATATTTGTTCTCAATTAATTTTTGGACTTCAGGTAGAATGTAATTTTCTTTTTCAGCTCCCATCCTAAATTTGTTTTGTTTTGTTTTTTTTTTGTTGGTTTTATTGATTTTTACTTTAAGATGCTTGTAAAAGGCCAACCTGGCCACAGTGTCTTTTCGAGAAATAAATAAATAAAAATAAATAATCCTTACAATTGCATCTCAAATAGTCTTCATTCAGTCTTCTTCAGATAAAAAATTTCAATATAAAAATTAAATTTCTACAGATATTTTAGAAGCAATAAAAGTTAAATTAAATAATCATGCTGATGTGTAATGAAATTATTAATATTACAAAACTTGCTTCTAGCCCTTGGTATAATTATATTAATTAAATTATCAACAACCGTGAGGCAGATAATAGTGAGGACTTATCAGACCAATGATGGGCACAAATATGTACGATTGTTTTATAATCTATAACAAATGCTCAGGGATCAAAGTGAAAACAATGTAATAAACACAAAAAATTACTACATAAGTATGGAAACGAAAACCCAAAATGCATTTCGGACTATTTTCTCGATAGA